ATATATATATATATATATATATATATATATATATATATATATTTTACTTCTGCAAAAATGGTAGAGCCAGCGTGGCAGGGGTGCATGCTCAACATTTTTTTATTGATAGGGGTGCGCGATCAAAAAAGTTTGGAGACCACTGCCTTAGAGAACCATCATCAATGCAGCTAAAATGGTGAGTGCAAACCACTGAAATAAACGTTTCACGTGTTGTGACTGCAGAACCAGCGAAAATTGAGGGGAGGTTGCCAATTTCAAACTATTGGGCTGAATTGTGTCCGTTTAAAAGAACTCTCCAGGAAACAACATGTGTTATTTGCTATTCCACACCAGGAGGAGCTACATTATTGCACCCAAAACACTTGGGTTAACACGGCAAGTAATTGAAAGCATTTAGAAGAGTGAATATTTAAAATATTAAATGTATGTCCTTTTTGCTAAATAAAGCCAGCGCTTTTGGCAGTGAGCCAGCCTTCAAGACCCTTTTTTGGGTCATTTTTTTTTGCAGTGGGCTGAAGGTTCAGGGCCCCCCGAAGCGGTACAATGTGTAACCCCGAGAGCCGTTTCAGAGTGGTAGCCGTGTTAGTCCGTATCAGCAAAAACCCACTGCAGTGGGTTTTAGCCCACGAAAGCTTATGCCCAAATAAACGGGTTAGTCTCTAAGGTGCCACAAAAGCACTCCTCATTGTTTTTCCTGATATCTGTGTATACCCCCAACCCAGGCCCCACATGCACACTTATCTTAGCCCGGTCTGTGCACAACGCCGTATCCCAGATCACATCATGCTCCGGGACAACGCTCGGCACTCCCTTGTTCTTCTACATCTGGGGGCCGATTTATGATTTCAAGCCCAATGTGAAGGGGCTAAAAGGCAGATCTTAGGCCTGGCGATACCCTGAACCACTTCACGGGGTTTTTAGTACTTTATTTTTTTAAACAACCTTTACACCTCCCTTCCCCCACCCAAATAAAAATAAAAGTAGCAAAAATATACCAGATAAAAATAGCCTTGTAACAACACTTGATTGATTGAGCACATACAATCCAGCCAACCAAGCCAAGCCAGGATGTCCTTATCAATGGCTATTGAAGGGAGAAAGGCCTCATTTGACAGCCCTCAACGTGGGTCCCGGTTTACAGCTGGCTGGCCACAAACCGCATTGATGGAATCGGGTCAGAGAGAAAATGGAGGAGGAAAAAAGGTAACCCCCCCCCCAACGTGTTTCCTTTCCGACCAATGAGAGACAGAGCGGATCGCACCGCGTCCAATCATAGCCGGCCTTGACCTTAGACTGCAAGCATAGGAGCCGCAAGGTGGTGAAACACCCCCCGAAGTAATAGTGGGGGGCCCCCCCACGGACAGGGGTCCCTGCAGGACTGTAGCAAAGCGAGGGAGCTCAGTGTCCCGTCCCCCCGGGGGCATGTGTTAATGTTTGCAAGCCCAGCAGCTCGCTGTGAAGTGAGACTGACCCAGACCTCAAGCAAACTAACCCTAGACCCCCTTTAACTTGGATCCCCCCCCAAAAAACACCCCCTTGTTGCAAGTGGAGATTTCATTGACTAGGGATTTCCGGTCTCGCCTGAGTTCCCATCGCCCCTTCCCGGGGTGGGAAGTTGGCAACGAACGTGGGTTTTTGGGGGGATTTTGGCAACTTGACTAAGGCAAATATTGCCGCGTGCACATGGAGAGGTTTCTGGGGGTCAGAATCCTGTCGCTGACTGTGGGTTAGTGGGGATTAGGTATCATCTGACTTCACAACTACAAATGTAAGCACTAAACCCAGGTGTACAGACACTCTTCGCAACCTGTGTCTTTTAAAGCTACTGTTAAATTATATTCGGTTTTAAATGCGATTTTAGTACCGGATTTTCCTAGACCTTTTATTGTAAAAACACCAAGTATCGGATCATTAAATCCTATAGAAGCGATTGACAGTGACTGGAACAGTAAAAGCTCCCCAAGTCTACAAGATTTTAATAAAACCCCACTGCCTTTTCACAGCGGGGCAAACCAAGGCCAGCCGCCCCCCTGCCAATCAGCAAGGCAAAAAAACCCCACACTTCCCTGACAAAGCCACTTACGGCAAAGCACCAGGCTACTGAATAGAAATAAATGGGTAATTAAAGGAACTAAGAACAAACACCCAGCCAGCCAGCCCCCCAAAAAGTAGCGAGTTAAAGAAATAAATGCGCAATTAAGTAACCAAAAAGCCCCATTTGCTGGGAGCTGCCTTGGCAGGACAAGTAAGTGATGTAGTGTCTACAGCTCTCTCATGGAGACAGTGAGTGGCTCTTAAAAGAGCCTTTGGAGTTTTTAAATTGACATCTCTTGGGGGTGGGAGGAAGAAGAGAGAGATACAGATTACTTGGAGCTGGTGTACTTGGTCACCGCCTTGGTGCCCTCGGACACGGCGTGTTTGGCCAGCTCCCCGGGCAGCAGCAGGCGCACGGCGGTCTGGATCTCCCGGGAGGTGATGGTGGAGCGCTTGTTGTAATGCGCCAGGCGAGACGCCTCCCCAGCGATGCGCTCGAAGATGTCATTGACGAAGGAGTTCATGATGCCCATGGCCTTGGAAGAGATGCCGGTGTCGGGGTGAACCTGCTTCAGCACCTTGTAGACATAAATGGAGTAACTCTCCTTGCGTGTCTTGCGGCGCTTCTTATCCCCCTTCTTCTGGGTCTTGGTCACCGCTTTCTTGGAGCCCTTCTTGGGCGCGGGAGCAGATTTCGCCGGCTCAGGCATCTCGCTCGCTAATGACACAGCACAGAACACAAACAGGAACGCAATAATCCGCCCGGCGGCAAGTCCTGTATTTATAGCGCCCCTATGCAAATGAGGGTAGCCTAATTCCCACCTTCCTATTGGCTGCTTACATGTTGGGCTGTCTTTTGTGCTGTCACCTCGGATGCAAATGACCCTCCTCCAAATGATGCGCTCCTATTGGACGGCAGCCGCCTCTTTCTTTCCCGATTGGCGAGGTTGCGAAGCGGCTTTCCCATTGGGCGCTTTGGAACCGAAGCATGAGGCAGCCAATGAGGAGCCGCTCGCCCCATCCCCATGAGGGCATAAAAGGCCGGCAGCATGGAATTTTTCCTGTAGTGTTATTGTGCCGCTGCAGTGACGGTGCCTAGGTGCGAGGGGATCCCAGTCATGTCTGGCCGCGGAAAGCAAGGGGGGAAAGTGCGGGCCAAGGCCAAGTCTCGCTCCTCTCGGGCTGGGCTGCAGTTCCCAGTCGGGCGTGTGCACCGCCTGCTGCGCAAGGGGAACTACGCGGAGCGAGTGGGAGCCGGCGCCCCGGTGTACCTGGCCGCGGTGATGGAGTATCTGACCGCTGAGATCCTGGAGCTGGCTGGCAACGCCGCCCGGGACAACAAGAAAACCCGCATCATCCCCCGGCACTTGCAGCTGGCCGTGCGCAACGACGAGGAGCTGAACAAGCTGCTAGGGGGAGTCACCATCGCGCAGGGGGGCGTCCTGCCCAACATCCAGGCGGTGCTGCTGCCCAAGAAAACCGAGAGCCACAAAGCCAAGGGCAAGTGAGCGCCGCTGCCAACCCCCGAAACCAAAGGCTCTTTTAAGAGCCACCCACAATTTCAGAAAGGGCTTGGAATTGCCATGTCAAGGGTGGGTGGGGAAAATAAAATATTGCCTGTTGTTCTCTTACCCCCACATCACAAACTTTTTCTGAGCCCTTGTCCTGGTCTTGTATTAATCAGATTCTAGCTCTACACACAAGGGGTTAGGGAAAAAGTTGCCTGGTTTTCATCTCTTTTATCTCTCCCTCTTCCCCAGCACAAACTTTTTGTGACACCCTGTCCTGGTCTTGCACTAATCTGATCTCAGCCCCACACGTGGGTGAGTGGTTACAACTGCTGTGATTCCTTTACCCCGTCCATCCTAGAGTTTTCAAACAGACCATCCCACCCACAGGAGTAAAACATTTCAAACTCCCTAAAGGCGGTGCCTGGTTCGCTTTGGGTTAAACCTTTTTTTTGCTCTGCTGTGCAGTTTTATTATTTTCATCTGGGATCCCTGTGCAGAGGTGCTTATAAACATCACAACCTGAAAACCGTTCTCCAGTTCATTTGCAAATTTGACACCATCAGATCAGGATTAAACAAAAACTGTGAATGGCTATCCAACTACAGAAGCAGTTTCTCCTCCCTTGGTTTTCACACCTCAACTGCTAGCAGAGCACCTCACCCTCCCTGATTGAACTAACCTCGTTATCTCCATACTGATTTATACCTGTCTCTGGAAATTTCCATTACTTGCATCTGAAGAAGTGAGGTTCTTACCCATGAACGCTTATGCTCCCAATACTTCTGTTAGTCTTAAAGGTGCCACAGGACCCTCTGTTGCTTTTAACCTGAAAACACTGGCCTAAGTGTCTTTCCTAAAACCACACACAAAATATAGTCAAGCTGGGAAAGGAACCAGGCATCTGGGACTTAAGCTGTGTGTGTTAAGGCCTGGACCAAGGCTACCTGCTAAAGGGAAGGTGTAATTCACAATAGCTGTGGGTCTCAGCATGGCAAGACATTTGAATTAATTTGTTGCAAGTTTATCTAGCTAGTTGGCATGTTACTTTTTGTGTGTTACTGGATTTTATGCATTAGTTTTGTCAGTTGTAGGCAAGTTAGCTGGGAGGGGTCTTGATACAGTCAAGATAACTAATTACTAGGGATAATTAATTGTCAGGTCAGCAACTTTCTCAAGTAGTTGTTCCACTTGTTGCTACTTTCAGACTGATCAAATCACCTCTTAACCTTGTCTTTAGGTAAATAGATTGAGCTCCCTGGGTTTATCACTGGGGAGAAAAATTATGCTACTACACAGAAAGAGTGTCTAGCCACTGAATGCAGTCTAAAAGATTTGCAGTCATGTCTACATGGTAGGAAGTTTACTGTGTGGACACAGACCATTCACTCCTTATATGGTTATATTAGATGTAGAAATCTGATGCTAAACTGTTATGCTAGAACCTGGAACTCCAGAATTACTATATGGAACTATCCACTAGCAAAGAAAATGAGAACACAATTGCAGATACTGTACTGTCTACCCTAGATCAGATGTGTTCCATTACAAGTAAATGGGGTGTGTGTATGGTGAGAGATTTCCAAGAACACAGCAGGAAGAGAGGTACACAATACAAAAACCAGAGTCCACCCAAGGAAATTAATATTCCGCAGGTTTAATACAAATAAGAGGAAGTATTTTTCACACAGCTAACTCAGTGCCATGGGATGTTGTTCTGCCCAAAAGCATAACTTGGGGGTCAGAAAAGAACTGGATACATTCAGGGAGGACAGGCCTGTTGGTGGCCGCATTTGAGAAATGCTGCCCTATGGGCTATTCTTGTGGTCACAGCCTCCTAGGCTGTGAGTGGGGAGGGGGCAAAGCAGGGGCCCGTCTCCCAGGCTGCCCCCCTCTGAAGACACAAATGCTGGAGGTGCTGGCAGCTGGTGAATTCCCCACTTTACTAGGGGGGAGTGACTTCAGCTGCAGGGCTTCAGGCTCCATCCACGTGATGGCAGGCTGTGGCCCCAGGCTCACCATCCCTGCCATGGTCCCTGAGCCCCACTGCCTCCCTGCCCATCTCCCCACCCAGGGCTTAATTTGTCCCAGGACAAATTAAATTTTCTGCTGTGAAAAGTGATATTAACAAACATGCAGATATCACTTCTGACAGCCGCAGACTTACTAGCTAGCTAGTCTTTTTTTAAAAAGCAAAAGAAACAACAACAAAAGACAAGAACATGCAGAACGCCTTATTTGTGTTTCTATTCTGTTTAGGGCCGGTAAAGAACAGAGACAATTGTACATTATTTTTATGACTGAGTCTAACAAAAACCCTACAGGAATAAATGACAATGTTTTGGACATGTGTATGTGCATATGTATTTGGTTTTTTTTTCTGAAGTTAATTAAATATTTTAGGAAAAATTGTCAGCGTGGCCACCAGTAAGAGTTGGTGGCCGTACTCTGTGGCCACCAAAAAGTTTGTTGGGAGAACCCCTGCACTAGTGGCTCCATGTGACCCTAACTTTTTGACTACCAGGAACAGAAGCCAGGGTAGATTACACCGTGATTGCCCTGTTCTGTACACTTCCTCCTGAAACTCTGGTATGGACCAGTCAGGTATAGGCTATTGAACGAAATGGACCATAGTCTGACCCAGTATGTTCTTGCTACTGTCATTCTGGGTGGTCACAGTTAAAGCGGGGACTACATTTTGAGAAATACAGATTTTTTTCCCCATTTTTGTTTTTAACAGAAGTAAGAGGAGCTATATAATAGGGTTTGGCAAAGCGTGTAGTTTAGGCGTATTATGGAAAGCATGTTTAATTTTACTCTGCTTCCATTTAAAAGGCATGGGATTTTTGTGGAGGGGATGAATACAAAGGGAAAAACCAAAGCAGCCCATGGAGAAATGAGTCAGGGCAGCAAGTAGGAAGGCACTGCAGAAAACCCCACTCAGAACCTAAACTTTGTGATGTTTTACTTCGGTTCTGAGACGACTTCAGAACGTTTTTTACCTTAACTCTGTTATTTACATAACTTTGGTTTGGAACAAATCCAGTTCTTTGCCTGCAGGCAGGGAAGGGCTTTTAGATGGGCCATCTACTTTGTGGGTGTGGCTGAGGGTTCAACCCCCCCAAACCCAGGGAAGGTGCGACCTTGATGTTTCAATGTCTAGACCATATCCATGGCCTTCAGGGTGTTTTTCTTAGCATGTTCTCTGTTGAGCACCGCACTCCGAATCACATTTGCCAGGAAAACCCTGAGCACACTCCGAGTTTCTTCGTGCGTTAGCCCTAGAGTTGCCAACTCTGACTGAAGCTATTCCAAGAGATTTCCCCCCCCCCCCAACATGACAATGTCATTTTCTTAAAATAGCCTATTAAAATCTCCCAGATTGCTTTCAATACTCACCAGGAGATCGATGCCGATTCCTGGAGACTCCAGGCCAAACCTGGCAGGTTGACAACCCTAATTAGCCCTGAGATGAGCTTCATACCCCACCCCCGTGTGGGGCAAGCAAGACACCCGCAGGCTCGCAAATATCCTAAATATCGGATAATAATCCGGACTCCCTCCGAATTTTGCGGTGCCCCTTCCCGACCAGAGGGAAAACGGAGAGGGAACAAGACGGGCAGAAGAACCACTTACCTGTACTTTAACTCCCTTTTTCCTCCCAAGCCCTATAAAGGCGTCGCTTCTCCGCTTCCACCAATGAAACCTCTTGCCCCACTGGCCAATCAGCATAAAGTCCTTAATTTTAAATTCACATAGTTAAATTTGGCGCCTTATCTGCCCCAAAGCATGCGCAAAAGTGGCGGGGAAGAGAAGTAATTTTGCATTTAGGAATTACATTTTACCACTCCGCGTTGAGTTCATGGGCTGCGAATCATTTCAGGGATCTCTGAGCTGAGGGAGGCCGCAAAGTTAGGGTGTGTGTGTTTCCTTTAATTGTCAGTAGGTCCCTGCATGTGTTTGGCTCCGTTAGGTAACAGAGGCGGCAGGACGGCATATTCCCCTGCCTTAACTCGGAAGAGATTCAAAAGGTCCCTTTGGGAGTTTGGAAATCGGTTATTTTTCCACCAGAAAGTGTCACAAAGGTTTGGGGCTGGAGAGGTGACGGAGCACAAATGGATCCACTCTATGGCCGGGCAAATGGGACACTTTGTTCTTTCTGCCACATCCTGGCAATTCAGTTCCTGACGTCTGCCCTGCCCTAAACTTTGCAGGGGGAAAACCTCCCACGACGCCCCTTGAAATACAGCTTTTACATCCGCAGGCCAACGGGGGGGAGTGCCCCCCCCAATTCACACTTATGAGCACCCTAAACACTAGGATATTTGCAAACGTCTCCTCCCCACTCCCATGGCTGATAGAATCATGTTGGCAGCTGTTTGGAATCAAAGACTGTTTGAGCTACACCCCAGACCCTTGGACTGCCTCGGTGCAAGCGACTCCCACATCAATAGGGTGACCAGACCAGATGTCCCGCTTTTAAAGGGACAGTCTCGTTTTGGGGGACCTTTTCTTATATAGGCGCCTATTACACCCCCTGTCCCGTTTTCTCAGTTGCTATCGGTTACCCTAGACGTCAACCATTTAACTTCCATGTGCTGGGGGTTAAATTAATATATTAAAATAGAAAATTAAAATATCACTCCATGTCAGAACTGGAAAGGACAGAAAATTCTCAGTGTCTCTTATAGTTGTAAGGAGATTGCAACTTCTGCTAAAGGTGGAAATGTTGTTAAAAAAGCTAGAAATGTACATGACCCTTATAATATACCCTTCTCTCACCTCTGCAAAGATCGAATACCAATTTGTAATTTGACTTGTCTGTAAAAAGCAGCTTCAGGTTTTTTCACAATGTTTTTCCTTTGTTAAATCTTGGTGGAAGTGAAGAATATAGGAATATTTATTCTAATGGATTCAAAGTTGATAGCGAGTGTGTATCACAGCCTAACATGAGAGGTTATTTTACTCCAAATACAATTTTCTTGCAGTTATAAATCTTGGGGGGTGAAGGGGAAGCTCTAGATAGAAAGCAAACAACTAAGTGTAAAACAGTG